TAATGAATCCATTTGTTAAAGGGGTATGTATGAAGACAAAATACTGATGATCATGATGATGATGATGATGGTGATCATTAGTATAACTGCAGGTTTTTCACTTTGATGTTGATGAATACGAATGTAATCTCTTGGGTGCCGGATATAATTAGTAAAAATTGAAATATACGGCAAATTCAGATGTGTAGAGGAGAGCCTTTCCTATAATTTAGCTCCAGGTTTTTTAATCAGTTAATAAAGGGAAGCTGAAGCAATTGCCTCAATTTGCAATAATGTTCTGCTTCCTAATTTCCTGTTACAGCACACTTGCCCTTCCCAGGTTGAATGCCTTGCGAAGAGTCATACTGCTAACTGTGTTTAAGAGCTTCTTTTGCTTTTTGAAAAAATCTTTGTAGTATTCTTATAAATACATGATCGAGTCAAATTTTAAATTTTAGTCAATGCAAAATATTTGAATGATTGAATTTAACATTATAGAATCATTGGTGCTGTGGTCTACACCTTCTGTAACACTGAGAAAAGAGGACAGAACTATAAGAATGTCTAGACAGCAAAAATTACATCTGTAGCAGCTTATCCATCTATGCTGTATGAAAGAAGCTGTTCTATAGTAAAATGTCTAGGATGCTTAGTGGTTTAAACTGCACTGCTTTCCTAGGATATACGGTTTTATACTGTAGTTTAATCAAATTAAACATAAAATACATTCTATGTATTTTAATCTAATCTTTTTGGAATAGATATGACTTATTTCACAATCACAATTTGTGTTTAATTTTTGTATTCTTAATTGAATAAAGGGTTGAACATAGTATATGTCCATATACATTTGCATATTTTTTACTTACCCTTAAATAGAGCTTAATGGTTGAGCCAGAGGAAAACTGAAGTTAGTTAAACTGTATTCTTCACTGGAATCTGAGTTCCATTCTTAACATTCGGTGAATTCAGCTGAGGATTAATACTTGTTTAATGCACAGTAGGATCTTTATCTGTAGATGATATTTAACTTTCTCTTTGCTCTCAGCCTCATTCACAACAGTATCTATTGCAGGACTCTGTATAGCAAAATGAGAGGTAGATTTCTAATATAATTAATCTCATAGTGAGCGGCACTTTATCAGCTTTGTTACAGACATACCACTATGTTATGTTTTATAAATTTTGTAGAAGACATCAAGGAAGGTACTGAGTCAGCCTTGCAACAGGACTGTAAAATGTTAACTGGAAAACAGGCTACAAAATCAAGTCAGACCATTTTGTTGCTAAAGCTGTCATTTTTTTGGGAGGTATGGCAATGAAGTTGTTACTTTTGCATGATAACCAACAAACATTGTGTAAGTCAAGAAAGGGGGTGAAAATGTTAGTTTCTTGCTTTAAAAAACAAACAAACATGTTGACCCAGAGCCAGAGCCTATTTCTAATTCTTGACTGAAAACTGTAATTTCTACTGTTTTCAACAAAACAAACATAAATGTTAACCTTCTGTGCATGACGTGGATTTTTATTTGGAGCAGTGAAGATTCATGCCCATTTGGACACTGAAATGATAGTGGCAAGTGCAAAGCACTGTTGTGCTAGTGTACAGTATGTACTGTTAAGCAGAGAAAATAGATCAGATTGCACTGCTGTAATTTTTTATAGGATACACAAAGAATATGTGAAAATACAGTGCTGAAAACAAATAAAACAAAGTAAACACAAAAATGATCTATATTTCTCAACGATATACTGTAGTAATGAGACACCTCACTTAGAATAATAACGGAAAGCAACATTTGACAGAATTGTAGCATTAATGAAAAATATCGTATACCTAAGATGCTAAAAGAAAAATATTCTAATTTGTAAAATGTATTTATTAATGTATGAGGATTTATTTAAACCCAATTTCTCTGTGCTGCCATGGAAAACAAGATAAAAATCTGCTTAACATCATTATCAATGCAGCACCGCTCTGGTGTGAAAATAAGGAGTGTAAACCACTTGTGTGGTTAGACTGCCACTTTCTGAAGGTTTTAGCTTCCATCAGGGACTGTGTCAGACTTCATTATTCCCAATCATCTCTTCTGCCTTTGGGGAATAAAAAAGACCTTGTAAACCTTGTAAATAGTATTTAATTGCTATTACTTGTTGCAGATTTGCTTCTGTATGTTTGATTTTTATTATAAAGTGTTCTTTAGGGTATTTCGCTTTAATGCAGCCAATCTATGGACTAATGGGAAACAATAATGTTTATAGCTCAATAGTGCCAAATACATTTGAAGTGACAGAAAATGTTTGCCTTAAGGCTCAGCCATGAAAAACAACAACAGCAGAGAGCCAAAATGAGTTTTGTGTTTGATTTATGTTGCTCTCATATGCTTGCTTTGTTTTTTCCTCTCTAATAAAAACACCATAGTACAATATTTTCTTTACCATACTCAGATTCGATTATCATAAAGTACGAAAACTGCAACAACAATGCGTTATCTATAAAACAAAAAAATCAGTGATGGTAATATCTGTATCGGTGCTTGTGTAGTTACTACTGTACATGTATTTAAGTGACGTTACAAAACTTAAAAATTAATTTTAATTAATTTAATAAATGTACAGGAATATAGAGCAAATAAAAAATGAAGATACTATACAGTGTACAGTATGTACTTTGTGGGGGTGGTTGAGGGAGCTGACTGACATAAGCAGGATTTCTTTTGTTTCAAAACTCTGAAGAAAATAATTGAATTTGAATTTGTACTGACTACACAAATGTGCATTTAATTACTTTTATGAGATATTTTTATCAGCATTTAAAGACCTCTTAAAGGTTCTTTGGGTGGTGCACCATTCTATATCTTATAAGAATGGTTAGGATGTTAATGCAGTACTAAAAGGTACAAGAGATGTAATGTTTCATAACACTACAAGAACTATGAAATTATTTTGGTATTTTGTTTTAATGCTGTGATCAGGAGATTTATACAATCCCCATACACTTGCACATTAAGAGAAAGCTGTGAGCATACTTTCCCTTCAATCCTCTTTGCTGGAAGAGAGGCAAGTCACTGTCACACTGAGTGAGATGAGCCAAGTAGCTGCTACAAGGGTGGTTAACGTGTGGTTGGTGGAGGGCTGCTGAGCAGAAAAGACTGGGAAGGAGAGTCAGATGTACTGTATCTTATTTATATGAAGCCGATAATTTTGTTAGGATTTGGGGATTTGTCTTCTTTCCTGTCTTTTGTTGTAAACTCCATCAATCAATGGATAGCATATGCCTCAACTCTAGACTGCAAACATCCCGATCTAACAGCATCTTAAGGCACACAATAGGCTGATTGGGGTCTTTACACAATGTGTTCCTAAGCAGTATTTTTCATGACCTCTGTGTCATTCATAGGCTTGTCTCTGAACACTAATGCTTCAGGTTAAGCAGTTCAACCTCAGACCTCTGAAGCATTTAGATTTAAACCTGAAGATCTCACATTCAAAACAAATTCATACATAGATTTATTTGTGCAATTTCTTGGAACAATTTAAAGTTGTCAGTACACATTTCATTTTGATCTTCAAATTCTATTTTCTTTTGCTGAAAGATTGCTTTGTCATTTAAAACTAAAAACAATAAAAAGACAAATCTTCCATGCTTTCAGAGCACCAGTCTTCTCAATGTATTGTACCACCATTAAAACAACTCATGTTATAAATGGAGCTTAAGAGAAATGTTACAGGCTTTTCCTATGTGTTTTTCAAACTCCATCTTCAACTGTTTTCACCGGATGCTTCTGTCTATTTATTGTGAATAATGTTTATGAGATCTGAGGATTGAACAAAAAAGGAGGAGCAAACCACTACAGGGCCTGTTCTCTAGATTTATAATAAAGGACAATTTCTTATACATTAAGTCCCTTAAGTCCATAAATTCCATTACTTCAAAGGAGTGATATTTCCCACATATATATTTGTAGAGTTTAATTGCACATAAAAAGCTAACAGAAAATAAAAAAAATGCTGACCTTAACCTGGAATTCACACGTTTTGTCCTGCTAATAACTTCTGAATTGGTTGTAGTTATGAGATTTTGCTAATACTCCGTACAAAAAGTACTCAGTGATTACCAATCAAAGTTTATTTATCAAATGCACAACAATACAGCGTGCAGGACTAATTCCTGGCAATGAAATCTCTTTTCTGTGAGCTCACCAGGGGGAAATAAAAATAAACTTCACAAAATGAAAAGTTACAGATTACTCAGCTCATTAAGGTACAGTGATGCAAGTTTCTTGTCTATTTCAATTCCCTCAAGGAGTCTTCCTCAGTGTCAGCCAAACACCAGATTTATGTCAATTTTGTTTCAGTAAACAGTTTTGCATGTGAGTCATTCATACTCTTGAATGCAGAAGCCAATTATTCAGAGTTGCCAACTGACTCTGCAATTTATATTAATTGTACTGCTTTTTTTATTTGTAGCTGCATTAAAGTTTGTCATGGTCTCGTTGTATAGTGCATGACTGTTTGTTGCTCTGCACTCTATTCTATATCTTTATACCCACTTAGAGGCATCTCCTTTCCCATCTCTTTACCCTGTAGATGCCCTGTATTTTTTTTTTATTCTGGAAATAAATTCATGATCTGTAATACTGTCCAATGTTGCAGTTCTGTTATTCATGCTGCTTGTAGATGTTTCCTCTACTTTTTCTGCTTTAGTTTCTTGTTCGCAAAGATTTCACAGCAACGAGCTCCTGCTTCTTCACCTTTGACCTGCCTCATTTAAATTGTAGGACGCCTCATTGTAATGGGAGTTTTTTTTTTCATCCTAGTGACCTTTCTCTGCTTCACTATTCAGGTCAGGGTCACAGGGCCTAGGTGAAGAAAATATTTAATTTTCATGGTAGTGTTTGATAGTTGGAAAATAACAGAAAAAAAAACAGAAGTTCCTTGGTCTGGGGTTACTGCTGTTCTACGGCTCAGGACTCTGTAAAAATATATGAATGTCTTACAAACGTATTTATTTCTTTCAGACTGGCAGAAAAGAGAAAGGGGACCCACTCAACACTGCCATCGATAAGATGACCAAAAAAACAAGGGACCTTCGAAGACAGGTACGGCAGCTGTGTTGCAGTTGTGGCCATCTTTTTATTGTGCAAAGGTGGTGGCGTGGTGGTGTGGTTTTAATTTTGTTTGTGTTACATCCCAGTGTGTGGTCCATGTGTGTATTTGTTGCTATGTTCCACACTTCCTGACCTTGATTGTTCTCCCACCCCCATTGGTCCATCATTACACCATTGTTTCCGTATGACGTCATCATCAATCGGCTTCTCGGCCAATCAGAACTCAGTTTATTCAGTATATAACTTGGTGGTTTTAGAATGAAGGGGCCTTTCGTTTGACCTTGGTCCTGCTCACGTTCTTAGCCAGCTCCATTGTTTGTTATTTTCATTTCCTTGGCACCGCTCTAGTTCCCATTCCCGGTGTGCTATTGTGTCATATTACGTACCAGTCACTCATTCACCTTAAAATAATCACTTTTGCACCAACACTTGTTATCATGCTTCCAGAACCCACCTGCAACCAAAAACTGTCCTAAATGTTACATCCCTTTACCCCTAGACACTTGGGGTCATAACAGTTTGCTTGTTAAATTTAGCTACTGTACAGCTACAGCTGTGTTGATCATTTCCAAGATCCTCAGATAAAAACATGGGTTTAAACAATTCTTACTAAAATGTAATTACTTCGTTGTACGCTTTGATTGTGTACAAACTCATAGATATCTTAAGTACTTTTCTTTATTAAACAGTACATGTTTATTTCCATGTTTGTAAGGTCTAGGGAGGTGGTAGGTTCTGACAAGGACCTCCATCTTACAAGAAATATGAAATTGTCTATAAATGTCCACAGGCAGCATTGTCTCTATGCTAATTTTTTATTTCTTCACTATTTGTGTTTTTGTTTCAACACCACAATTCTCACATGAAAAAGAACATTGTTTAAATTGTGTTACATTTACAACTTTAACGTCAGATCTTCTTATTTATTTAAATACACTTTGTCAAAGATGGACGTTTGCATTTTAGACCTACAATATGTTATGTAAAGATTGAAAAAAATGCTTTCCTGAAAGTGTTCTTTTGAAAAACATTAAATGGGTTGATGTAAGCATGCAATATATGTGAGCCACTGTAGATTGTGTTATTTATGGGTGGATAAAATCACTGTGGGTGTTATCCACAATTAAATAATTGCTCAAGGGAGGCATACACAAAGCTTTTGTGTGCATATTAAGTAGACAATTAATTATGAACAGTTACAAAGAGTAAACAAAATTGGTTAAGACTGTCACAATGGAGAATAAGCTTGTAGATGTGTATAGTGCTCATATAAGAAATACAGTACCAGACAATTTATACTGTACGTTAAGCATGTTTATTGTTGCTTATGCCAATCTGTTTTACAGTTTACAGTTTACAGTAACAAAGTTTATTGACTTTGTTAGAGACACCCGAAGAAGGCTCCACAGCCGAAACGTTTCATTTCCTTCTTCTCTTTTCAGAATGGAATAAACCTATTACTTGTTCCTTTGCAGGCTACACATGCTGACGCAGCTACACACCTGAAATATTTCTGATTTAGGGCTACTAAGAAAATATATGTGGAGAACTGTGGTTTCCAGCATATTTTCCAATAAAAAAAAAATCATTCTTCATGTTTTGGGTTGAGAATAATCCAAAAGGAAAGCAAAAGGAAAACATTGTAGACAGGGGATGCATTTTATAGGGACATGTTATTACCAATTTGAAATAATGAAAGTCAAGAGCTGCATGAATTGATTCCCACAGTTCATATGGGATATCCATCATCACACTGAAGTCATTCCTGGCTTCCTGCTCAGACTTACAAATGGTGCTTTTCAGAACTGGAGCCTAGAACTAGGGCATTGGAAAAAAATGAATTGTCTGGTATTAGTTCCAGAGGACGCACAGAAGGATGCTAATCTGCTTACAACAGGCAGTATGCTTCCTGAGCAGTACTAGGATTTACAGTTAATTTTCTGTTGTTGTTCAAGGCTGTGCAAGCAATTGCTATGCCACGGGAGTAGGAAGATGGGAATACTATTGACTGGAATGTAATGACAGCGTAGGTTATTTATTTGAACAGAGGGAATAGCCAAGCATTACCTGCTGGTCTGATACAGTAATTATGCCAGACCAAGCAAGTACATTGGTGGAGTTTGAAACTGAAGGACTTCACTGTGGATAGGAAAAAAGGCAAAACTAATAAAAATAACTCTATACTTACTAAATATAGAAGCATTCTTGCACCCCGGAAAATGTTGTTTTCTTTTCCAGTCCATTCACACATTTTGAAAATCTTAGTTTGCACAGCTTTTCACTGTTTTTGATAATGGCAAGATGCTCATTATATTTAAACAGGAAACCTTAATAATGGCATATACTGTATATTTCAGTAAAATAGTGACTGAGACCATTTGTTTACAATGTGTACTTTGCCAGTGTTAAAAAATATAGAGCACTACAGCAGGTGGCGTTGCTATAGAAAATACTTTGTCCATCTTTTAAATACAGTTCAGAATGAAATAATGCAATAGTTATGTCTACCTGATAAATTCTCCAAAGATAAAAGAGTAAAAGAGCACTTAAACAATGCGGGCTGCGTAACTGATAGCTGTATGGATTCAGTTTGAACAACTCTGTGCAAGCACAGAGATGACAGAGCTGTTCATGATCTATACTGCTTCATAATCATAATACTTGATATCACACAAAAGTCAACACAGTGACTCTGCTTTTTAACATGAAGGCATATAATCATAACACAGATGTTATTTTGTTAGAAAAACCAAGTATAATTGTGCTTTTATTTTCATAATCCTTTTTACATTATAACAGATGTGCACTTAGTATTGTTTATGCCTGACTGCACAGTAGTATAGACTGTTCATATATTGATTTTTCTGCAGCATGATTTTGCTAGATACAGATAGGAAACCTAATCTGCAACAACGTTATCATTCTCACTGAAGGGAGAAAAGCTTAATTTAAAAAAGAAACCCTGTCCAAGCAATCCCGAGAAGGACTGTTAACTTTTTCAGTTTATTTCAGCCTGGGTTTTTGGATAAAAAATGTCTTAAAAACCACATGCTGAATTGTAAAATTTGCAATTCTCAATGTAAACCACCTTGTTAATCAACCAATGTAACATACCAAAGCTTCCCTTGGCATTTATGAGATGCCTGTAACATCACCCTGCATGACAGTACATCAGTTAGAAACACATAGGTATCACAGATCCATTATAATTGAATGGAATTAAAATCTTTCAGTGCCCCGCTGGGCTGTAAATATCACACTGCACGTTTCCTTTGAAGTCATTTATCATGTGTCTCATTTTAGCCTGTGTTTTTCCAAGGCCTATATCATCTCTTCTTTTGCGCCCATGTACTTTGGCTAATATTTGGAAAGCAGTAAACTTCCTTGGCATGTATTATAATTAGGCGTGAAAATCAGTTTACAGATTCACAAGGCCAAGCATTTTTAATCCTCTTAAGACATTTATTTTATTATCTACCACAGTATAAATTCTCTGAGATGTTTATTATGGAGCTCCTTGTTTTTTATGGTACTCCAAAGTGGTTTAAAGGAAATGAAAAGTGTTTAATAGTCCTGATTTACTTCAAGCCAGATGCAATTTCATTTCACCAGCAATTTCAACCATCACTTTTAATTTATTCAGTGTGTAATGTTTACGGGTGCACATATGGCCCTATTTAAAAACAGATCTCTTACCTACTACCACTTACCCTGTACAAATTATCATTATATGACTTGTAAAATGATTTTTGATCCATTTACAGAATTTTCTACAGTATGTAAAAACTCAGGTTTCAGTTTTATCTTACAAGATACTTTTCGTTTAGTCACAGGTATTGGTCATTTGTATAATTTCACCAACATACTCACCTCGCTACAACCTTAAACTTTTGATTTATATGAACATTTATTAATAAATTACTTTCAGTTTTGTTTTGTTTTTCTCTCATCTGTCACATTTTGATATATTTTACACAGATCAAATTGGATTATTTAAAAATAGGATAGGATTTAAAACTTACCACACACTAACTGACAAAAGACTTTCACCAGTCCCCTGGCTTCAATGCAATCTTGTATAATGAGCTTGACGGTAGTCTGAAAGAAAACATTAAATTGACTACTAAACCTGTATTATAGAGTTCTTCTATGAAACTAGAGGTTTTTTTTTTAATTCTCCAGATTAATATACACGATACCTATTGTCATATACAATATGATTTTCTACTGTGGACATTGTAGCAGGTAAGAAATCTGTTTGTGATAAGACCATGTATGCAACAAGCTATTTCATATTCTTTTCTTTTTTCCATTTTTATTATTTAATTCACTGTATGTGATTAACCACTTCTGAACGTTTCGTAATAGTGATTACCACACTGTGCATTATAAACCACACTGCAGACTATTGCAGATACAATATTAAATATGGCCTAATCCCAACTGAGTTACATCTAGAAGATGAAAAGAATATAACAGTCAAAAGTCCTTTGTTTTCTAAAAATAGAGCTTCCGAAAATCTCTTTATGTCCTGGGGCGAATTTCAGTGAAACATATTCCCCTCTGTCCTGTCCTTGGTGTGTTGGGCAAATGAATCCTCAATACATGCTATGAAAGATGATTTCTGATACTCGAAGAAGGCTTTCACTTTATCCATTCAAGCACTGAGACACCACAACATACATAATAAAATAAAGTTTGCTGTTTAGATTAAGTACTCCATTATACACTAAAATTAAATAATTATAATTATTATTATTAATAATAAATATTAATAACCTGATTGTTATTTTGTATTTACATATCAGTTATAGTATTGCTCCACTTTTTTTGTCATTATAAAGCCCAGAAGACAGTTTACATAATACTCTGCAAGTCAATAATAAGTCAAATGGTTCAGTATGTCCTTCTTACAATTTTTTGAAACTTTTTTTTATTCAAACACATCATGCCTCAATATACAAGACTAATGAACAATACTGTATGCATTT